CTAATACACCTAAAACAAAAAACAGTGTGTGTGTATTTGCAGAGCACTTACTTTAGACGATTGCTCTATCTGACTTTTCTCAGCTAACAGCAAATTCTAGAGTAGACTGACTAGTTGAAGGAAAAAGACTCACTAACTGCCAGGTTACTTAGTTCCCAAGAAATGTTGCATTTACCCAAAGTAGTATGTGCAGTCATAACCTCTAGATATACTTGAACAACTAGTGAAGGACACGGTTATTGACATTCTTATACAATGTTGTATTAAGCAATGTTTTCCTCGGGTAGTAATAGAAACTAAGGTAACTTGAAACAAGATCAGTTTAATGGGTTTCTCAATAAATGTGTTATGTGAAAACTGCATATATTTAGAACAAATAAATTTAGAATAAATATTAGAATATTACAAGATAAAAATATGTAGTATTTTCATATACCATAGAACTTCAGCTGTTCTAACTCAGGAATAACTACTTGGGAACCATGTAAATCATTGTTTCTAGTTTTTGGTTTATCATAGTTTTGACCAGGATTTTGAGTTAAGCTCTTTAAAGATATATTGAAATATATTTATAAGCATTGCACATTATGAAGCATTTTATTTGATTCTTTGTTATTTTTAAAACGTTTATCAAATTCATTCAGGTTAATCACAACCACAAAATCACACAATGATTTTACTATTTTCAGCCTCACTTTGTTATATTTGCACAGGGCATCACAACTATGGTATTTTCAGGTTAGACAATTTCCCAACAAGTATCAGATAATTAGATTCACTAATAACAGCCGATTCGATCAGTAAGCAGAGGGAATAGCTTGTGTTTGATAACTTGACTGGGCTTCTTTCATTAAGTGTGAAATAATCAGACTTCATATATCACACTTTCTTCCCTTCTCTGTTTCGAGCTTTACATCAAGCTAACATTTCAGCTTAACTTTAAAACCAATAACCTTTAAACTTGCAACAGAGCCAAGAAACTTGTTAACTTTTCTTTGATCCTAAGAACATGCAACATGAACTATACTAGTCCTTTAATAATTATTTGCATAAAACTATAAAAATGTAAAACCTTTTAACACAGACTTACATTTAACTACACTTTGCCTTTTAACTGCAACGTTAAGACTAAAATTCATAAAATACAAAACACTACATCAAACAAAGGCAGGCCTTTTGACTGAGTTTATAAACATCACCATCAAAAATCTTTAATAAAGAAATACATTAACACTCTTTAACATAGACAAGTATATATTCTACTCTTTAACGATGATAAAAGCATGAAATACCCTTTAACAAAGAAAAAATAATGCACAAGTATATAGAAGTAAAAAAGAAAAGGAATAATCAAAATGAAGAGCTACTCTGTTCACTTTAGGAATGGACAGACTAACAAAAGCTAAAAGAAAAAACAATAGAAACCCTTTTATATGAATTTTAACAATGATGATAAATTATTTCATTTCAACACTATGCCATACAAAATAAACAAAAAAAGAATGATTTTAAGAAAGCTATTCTGTCTCTGCTTTCATGTTATAATATCAAAGAAAACACCAAAATGATACATTGTTATGTATAAAAAGATAAATCCCCTGTCTAAATTAGTGCCAAAACTGCATTTAAATACAAGTGATAAAAATAATAAAGCAATTTTTAAGGTGATTAATTAATATCAAATTAAACACTTCAACAATGAAAACCTTTAAATATATAAAATAAAACACAACATAAAATAAAAATACTCTTCATCAATGAAAATGAAAAAGAATACAAAAATATAATAGCAAATCTAGCTACTTCTCATTCACACACACTCATGAGTGTGAAAGAGCAGCAATGCGTTACCTCTATATACAGTGAAAAAACAAAAAGTTTAAATAGATTAAAAAACTCTTAAATCCCTTTTCTTTCACATACACACACTCACATGCATGAAAAAGCCAGGGTTTTGCAATACAAACAACAAATGAAATACACATATACACAATATACATTAAACAAGTTGCAATAATTTAAATTTATATATATAATTATAATATATATGCTCACCCCAGAAAGTGATCAAGGTTTCACTTTTATCACCTTAACTCTGTTGTCATTGTCTTCCAATTAGTGGCAATGGATACCTAAGGTCTTTGCAAGGTTCTGCTTAGCTTTGACTAGTCTGATTGCAGGTGCCAGACCCCTTCCTCAAACTTAAACAGAGGAGTGACCCTTTGCCTCAGCCAACCTCCTTCCTGATTATAGATAACTATGGCCTCTGTCCACTCAGCTGCCATCACCTGGCAATGGTGCTTGAACCATATAATCTGTTATAATGTTGGCTGGTTTGTGAACACATTAGGTGGCCTGACATGGAGTTCTACTCTCGGCTTTTTCTGGGTTTTCTCCCATGGTCACTTTATTGGTGATGACTTAGTATTATGGCTGTATATGTCCTATGCAACAGTTTTGTTAGCAGTGTCAGAGCTAAGGCTCCATCATTGATGACAGCAACTTTGGATAAGCCATCTGGCTCTTCTACACTGCTGTCACCTAGGTCTTGCTAGAACCTGACCACTCCATCTTCTGAAAAATTGGATGCCTCTCTCTTTGGAATGTAGTGGACTCATCAAATATGTTAGCACATCTGTTGTCACCTCCTCGTAGACGTGCTACATTTTATGATGGGAGATGTCACCAGGCCTTGACACTCCTCATTTTTAACCTCCTTGGCCAAAGTCAATAGTGGTATTCACTCCAGCTGTTGAGTAGCTTACAGGTTTGACTTTTCCATTTGTGATGATGTTGAGTCCAAGGACCTGATGATGGAGGCCTCTATGGGCTTCCCAGTGGTATCATGGTCTTCATCAGTTGTTGTAAGCAGCTTAGCCCTACCATACAAAAGCACCAATATGTTGACCAATTCAGTGAGCTGTCATGGGCTCACTAAAGATAATATTCAGTTCAAAACTTTCTGTCTTCAAAATGAGTTCACATGCTGTAGATTGCATTGGGCATCCTGGAGTACTTGAAAGGGTTCATAGGTAAAGCTGGAATACATGGTAAAACAGTATGATAACTGCAGCTACACACAGGAAAGGGCAGGGTAATCATTGACTAGTTGATGAAAGAGAGACTGGCCAAACTTGACTTCAAATACTGAAACTCCAGATCCAAATCCAAGGTTTACTGAACTGTAATGGGTCAAAGTTTCAGCCAAATGTGTAGTTTAATGGGGTCATAACTTGTGGTTATGACTTTGCATCACTTATTGGTCAAGTGACACGTCTAAAGGCTTAACATGTACTCATGTTCAACATCACCTGTAGAATGTGTGTCCAGAGAACCTGAAAAATTTATCTTCCTGATCTTCCCCACGTTTCTACTTAACTAGCTACATTGTGGCCATGATGCCCTCTGTTGTCCCTAACAGACAATGGGAACACACACTCCAACCCAGCTTCATTCCTAGCCTACCATTTAGTTGTCACATAGACAGCACTTGATTCCAGGATTGGTTCCAGCAGGTAGTAATAGGTTCCTATAGAATCAGGGTGACTTGGGTGAGGAGATGCTACCCTCGACTTTGACCATTAGCCCTTGACACAAATGACAAGGTTCTGCCACATGGGTGGTATACCTTCTGCTTCCTTATTACACTTACAGCTTGCTTTCATGCTTCAACACTTTACATCATAATGAAACAACATTACGAAAATACTCAGCACAACTGGCTGAAAATATTCTTATCACAATAAAATAACATACTAAGTATATCATGTGTATATATTTGTTACGATATCTAAGCAATTTACTAATGATACACGAGTCGGTAAAACTGAAATATTATTTTAATAGTATTAATGAAAACAACAAGCTAACTGCATTTTACAATCATACTTTCCAATTCAATTATTACAGTTAACCTCATATTCATCAATTCTTAACATCCAGATCAAATCCTCCATGCCCTCTTTGTCGACTTCTTGTTTGTTTTAATTTTCTTAGAAAAAACAGTTATGAAGGACTCCACGTAATATTTCTACAGTTTATGGCCACACATGGGTATTGTTTACATAGGTACTAAGGAGAAAATGCGTGCTTCACACATGAAACTTTTTGTTGTTGTGGTATTTGAATCTATAAAGTTTATAACATGTAAATGCAGTATTATGTGTTTAGATTAATTACAGATATTAAGTGACCTGCCTAGTCTACTGTTACAACAGCGGAAGTTGCGTGATGCGCTGAAGTTTCTGGAAGGATAATGAATTATCGGGGAGGCCCAAGTTTGTTTGAGGCAGCCTCTTTTTTAGTATATAAGCCTGGTGATAAAAACCAGCGCGATTAAAGAGATAGATAATTGAGTCAAGCAAGCAGTAGGCACCATAAGTAAAGTTTGTGAATCACTGTCATTTATAGCGTGTGTTATAAAGGTTGTTAAGTTTAAAGTGATTGTGGAAATTTTATGTATTACGAAGTTGTATCGAGAAAGAATAAACTAGTTTTAATTAAGAAAGGACTTGTATCGCTAAAGTTCCTTGGAAAGAATTTATACCAGAAATTAACTAACGAGCAGAAACGTAACACTACTCACATATGAGGTTAGGCACATAGTAATTTCAGTTACTACAAGGGTAAACCTAAGTGGGTTAAATCTGTTCCATAACACGTGATTCCCATAAAACACCTCTAGTACAAAAGACACTTTGAGCCAAATGGTCTGATAAAAAATTACAAACTGATTGACTTATCTAGTAGGAGACACCAGATCTAAAACACTTTCAAAATCTGGGTATCAGGGGTAAATATTAAAACTCAGTGATATTGCTCCCAGACCCCTACTCACCAAAGTGACAGTGATGGTACACTAAGTGCCTATAAACAAATGAAGAAATTCACTCACAATACCTTTAAACAAACACTACTGTTTGAGATGGGGCTCTAAGGGATAACAAATCCATTCTTCAGATACATGTTCTTTTAGAATGCATACCACTATTTACACTCACCCCTTCCTTACAAATATGGTGACGTCGTCCATACTTCCCTCCTCCTAATTTCAATTTTGCATAGTTTGATAGTTTAAAAAGCTTGCCACACACATATGATGATGTCATCAGTACTTCTCTACTCCTAATTTAATTTTTATATAGTTTAATGATCTTTAATTCATAATGTTAGAAAAACACATAGGTTCAAGAAGCCTTGATAGAAATGAATAAAAAAACCATAACCCGAGCACTTTTGAAAGATGAACCTTTCCTTCTTCAGGGGTAAAATGGGAATGGTGGTGTAATGGAATGAGTGATATATATAAAGGGAGTTTAGTGACGTCATAATGATCATAGATTTTTCCACGAAATGTTTAGTCTATTTCTCTATGTACTGTTGTATGTGAAAAGGCATTAGGGATATTTTACTTTAGAAATGGCTAAATATATGTATATTTAAAACTATAATTATGTGTTTAAGTAAAATAAAAGTGACACTTGGAGACTGATTGAAAAAGATATGTTATACTAATCAATTTATAAAAACAGGTATGTCAGATTTTGAAAGTATATATATATATATTAGTTATTCTTTTTGTCAATTGTCAAAATGAATGGCTTTTACTTATATTTCTTAATAGTACAAATATATATATTATATTGTTGTTGAGCTTAGGATTCCTCTACAGCAGGTGTCTGTAACTTGTTAGCGATAAATTCAACGACGAATAAACAGCACACATTTTACTTGTTTTCAAATAATATATATATATTACAGGCATATCATAAACACTATTTGTATATAGTTCTATTCTTCTTGTCAAAAGTCCACTTAGACCTATTCAGTTACTTTAGAATTTCAGTTGACAAGTTGAATTATCTTCTCTATATGACCATAGTACTACTAGTATTGTGTGTGATTCACTTACAGTTTATGGCTCAAGTTACCGTAATTC